GCGTGAGGGGTCGGGGTGGGGGTGACCTGGTTTTGGGGAGCCCCTGGAGAAGCTGCAGGGGCTGGGGGGGGAGCCCAGGGCAGCTTGGCTGATGATTCTGGTTCGGAGCAGGTTGAATAATTAATAATTATTCTTTGAATAATTGACAAGAAAGAACAAAACCCACCATCTTGTGGATTCAGGGCATGAAGGAGGCACTGAACTGTCTGACCAGGGCTCCCTGCTGCACTTGGTGTCTTTTTAACCCTTCCCATGCTGGAGGAGGAACCCCAAATTGTGCAGGGGGGATGGAGATGAAGGGGGGGGACACAACTGTCCCCACTGCCACCAGGGGCTGGTTTTTAATAGTTCCTATGACCAATGAAGCCTCCTTCTTTAGGGTCAACCACCTTTGTGGGGTTGCTTTGATTGGTGTGTGTTCAATGAGTGGGGAAAAGAGAACCTGAAGTTCTGAGGCATTTGTGGAAACGACTAGAAAGTCTAGAGAAATGAAGCTGTTTTGAAGCCAGGGAGGTTTGGAGGCTCTGGCAGAGCTGGAGGAGTTGATAGGTTTGAAGAAGGACTAGAAGAGGGTACCAGGAGGGAATTCTGTGCTGGGAGGGTGGGGAGAGCCTGGCCCAGGTTGCCCAGGGAAGCTGTGGCTGCCCCATCCCTGGGGGTGTTGAAGGGCAGGTTGGATGGGGCTTGGAGCAGCCTGGGCTGGTGGGAGGTGTCCCTGCCCATGCAGGGGGTGGATCTGGATGATCTGTAGCTTATGGGATGGTTTGGGTTGGAAGGGACCTTCCAGACCACCCAGATGATCCCCCTAGATGATCTTGTAGGTGGCTGCTCCATCTCTGGAAGTGTCCAAGACCAGGTTGGATGGGGCTTGGAGCAACCTGGGCTGGTGGGAGGTGTCCCTGCCCATGAGGGTTGGATCTACATGGTCTTTGAGGTCCCTTCCCATTCTGTAAAGAAAACCACTCCAACCACAGCACCCAGAGCTGTCCCAGCAGGATTCCCTGGGCCACCTCCCCACCCCACTCATCCCTCCTCCTCCTCCTCCCTGCAGGAATGGAACCTGCAGCCACCTCCAGGAGCAACCACTGCCTGGACGCAGCCAAAGCCTGCAACCTGAACGACAACTGCAAGCGCCTGCGCTCCTCCTACATCTCCACCTGCAGCAGGGAGGTCTCTGCCACCGAGCCCTGCAGCCGCAGGAGGTGCCACAAGGCCCTCAGGCAGTTCTTTGACCGTGTCCCCAGCGAGTTCACCTACCGCCTGCTCTTCTGCTCGTGCCGGGACCCGGCGTGCGCCGAGCGGCGCCGCCAGACCATCGTCCCTGCCTGCTCCTACCAGGACAGGGAGAAGCCCAACTGCCTGGAGCTGCGGGGCACCTGCAGGGCTGATCATCTCTGCAGGTGAGGTCACAAGGGATGCTGGGCTTGGGTTGGGGTGGTTGCTTCGGGGTGGTGGGTTTGGAGAGCAGGTAGAGCCAAGCTGATCCACCTCCCAGCAGCCCAGGTGGCTCCAAGCCCCATCCAACCTGGTCTTGGGATACAACCAGGGATGGAGCAGCCACCTTCAGGATCATCTAGGGGGATCATCTGGGTGGGCTGGAAGGTCCCTTCCAAGCCAAACCATCCCATGAGCTACAGACCATCCAGCTCCAACCCCCTGCATGGGCAGGGACACCTCCCAGCAGCCCAGGCTGCTCCAAGCCCCATCCAACCTGCCCTTCAACACCCCCAGGGATGGGGCAGCCACAGCTTCCCTGGGCAACCTGGGCCAGGCTCTCACCACCCTCACACCAAAGAATTCCCTCCTCATCTCCAACCTCCATCTCCCTCTCCCAGTTTCAATCCATCCCCCCTTGTCCTCTCCCTGCCCTGGTGAGAACTCCAATCTAACTGTCCAATCTCAGCCTCTTCCATCTTGTTGCTGAACTGTTCCAGGTGTGTGGGTTGTGACTCCCCTGAGCTCTGTGGCTCTGCTGCCTGGGTCTCCCCCAGTCCCAGCTGAGTCCTTTGCAGAGTTCATGGGGTTTGGCTGCTCCTGGAGCAGCTTTGTGGGCTGAGATGTGGCCTTGAGGTTGGTCCTCCTTGCTCTGGAGTGAAGCTGTGGGTTGGTGAGGGGCTGGCTGTGGGTTTGCAGGCACAGGGGCTGAGCTCTGACCTCCCCAGGCTGGGCTGGGGTTCAATGTGCAGAAGGCACATCCCAGCAGAACTTCATGGCTCGTGGAACCCACTGGTTTCCCCCTGCTGGAGCCAAGTCAGGGTATCAGGCTTTTGTTCCCTTATGCAATTCATTATTCATGTGGCAAATAAAACCCCCAAACCTGTCACCCTCTGGGGGCTGGATCAGCCTCATCAAGAATCTTCCCTACAAGGAGGTTGGGTCTTCCTTCTGCCAGAGTGATGGACTTTCCCTGAGCCTGGTGGCAAAATCAATCACCCAGCTCCAGGTCTTCTTCTGCCTGCAAGTGAGTGTGTTTGGAACGTGGAGAAATGTGGCTTTTTATCAAAAAGTAATAGAATCAGCCCTTGTCTATGAATAAAAGATACCAGGGCTGCAGCCAAATTCATGGCAGCTCCTCCCCAGCAGCAGAGCTGGTGCTTGCTCAGACATTAAAGGGGGGGGACACACACACAGGGGGGGGCATGGAACTGCTGAGCATGAATTTTAAGCCCTTTCCTTCATGGAATGAAGTTTCTTCCCAGCAAGAGGTGAAGCAGCAAAGGGGGAGGAGTGTGGCAGGGCTGTTTGGTCCCAGCTGGAAGTGCATCTGTGTGGGTGCTGCTGGGCTGGGGGCTCCTCTGCCAAGCACCTGAATCCAGCAGGTCTGGGTGCATCCAGGGGTGGGGACTGGATTGTGGAGCTTTGCTTGAGTCTCAGCTCTTCCCTCCCTGGCATGAAGCACTGGGGGAATGAGCTCCTTGGATCCAGGCTTGGAAGAGAAGCTCCCATCCCACCCACTCCCAGCTCAGTCCCAGTAGGTTCTGGCAGGGCTTGGCCAGGCAGGTTTGCTCTGAAATCCCCATGAAAAGCAGTTTCATTAACCAAGTTGCAGCACTGGGGGTTCAGGGCCTGGAGCTGCAGGAACATGTTGTCTGATCTCCTCCTGGCTGCAGCTGCCCTGGTGTTGGGAAGCAGTAAACTGAGCCCAGCACCTGAGCTGGGGGGGGGTTCAATGAGAATTTGTCTCCTTTTGGGCATCAATGCAAGTGAGAGAGGGTCTGGCTCTTCATGTTGTTCTTCCTGGCTTCTGGAGTGGAGCTGGGCTGTGTGTGCACTGGGAACACACACACACAGGCTGCATTTGATGGTCCTGGCTGATGTGGTTTTTCCCCCTCCATCTCTGTCTGGAGGTCTCCTGCCAACCCTTCTTCTCCAGGGATGAGGCATCATGTCCCAGGGCCTGTGGGGAGAGGATGGGGAGAAGAGCTGCTCCAGAAGAGCCACTGAGGTCTCTTCTCCCAGGTGACTGAACAAGAGGAAGTGGCCTCAAGTTGTGCCAGGGGAGGTTTAGATTGGATATTCCAAGAAAATTCTTCACTGAAAAGGTGATCAAACACTGAACAGGCTGCCCAGGGAGGTGGTTGAATCCCCAGCCCTGGAGGTGTTCAAAAGCCACATGGATGTGGTTTAAGCCCTGGACTTGGTAGAGTTGGGTTAATGGTTGGTAGAGCTGGGTTATGGTTGGACTCAATGACTTAAAAGGTCTTTTCCAGCCAGAATGATTCTTGTGGTTCTTCCACAGCCCTTCTCCTCTTCTGTGCCCATTCCTGGTGCTTCCCAGCTGCTCCAGGCTCAGAGCTTGGGAAGCTGGAGGAGATCTTGGCTGTCTAACCATGATGCTGGTGATGCCAGGGCCTTGCTGTGCCTTCTCAGAGGGTTTTGACCTCTGTGGAGGTGCCATGTGTTGGGGGTGGGTTTGGCCTGGAGGCAGGGGGTCCTTTGTGTGCTCAGTGCTTGGAGCTGCTGTGCAGACAGGGCTCCACAAAGGGATCTACAACCCTTTGTGCTTATAAATACCAACCCCTCTGTGTCCAGTTATCCCTGGCAGGGCAAGGCTGGGCTCTGCCATGGGATTTCCAGTGCTTACCAGGCCAGCATCATGGCCTGATGCTCATATTTATCTGCCTGTGGGACTGGGCAGGGCACTGACATCAGCAGCAGATGCTCTGAAACCCAATAGTGATGGAGATAATGCTCCCACACAGCCTGGAGTGCAATTAAGCTTCCTGGCTGACCTCCTAATGAAGGGCAAAGTCCTCTCCCTGGGATGTAACTTTCCAGAGAGGCTTCCAGGGCCATCTCAGGGCAGCCAGTGCTGAGCTGGGTGAGTGGGGCTGCTCCTCATCAGGGCTGCTCCTGCAGGACACAACCCTGAGGTCATGTTGCTCCTTGCCTGAAAGCAGCAGAGGAGTTGGAGGAAAGAGAATGTAATGATCTGGCGTGGAAAACCCTCCTTCTGGAGGTTCTCCTGGCTTTCTGCTCCTGATTTCCAGCTGCACAGGGCTGGTGGTTAAATGGTTGAACACCAGCCCCTGTCCCATCAGTGGTCACAGAGCTGGGGAGGTAAAAGCCACCAGCTTGTTTTCATGGCCAGTTCTGCAGGTGCCTGTTCCCTGGATGCTTTGGACCAGGGGGTTTTAGTTAGTGGGCAGCATCCTGGTTTGGAGCAGGGTCTGGAGCACTTAGGGGGTCCCTGCAGGCAGGAGGAGGGTGCTGTGCAGCCTCTCTATTCTGCCCTGCCCTTTGGAGGGCACCAAGAGGTCAGGATGTGGCCCCTGCCTTCCTCCAAGGGCTCAGATCCTGGTGAGGGGTGAGTGTTCAACCTGTGCCCTTCTCTGGGAGTGGGATGTGGGGGGCTGGGTTATCTTGGGCTGCAACCCTGAGCTTTGCCCTGAATGGCTGTGACCTGTGAGGCTGCTCAGCTTCCCTGGTGAGATCCTCCAGCCCCAACCCCTTCTCCCAGCCACGAGAGCAGGAACAATCAGGCTCAGATTGCTGCAATTTGTGGAGCTCTCAGTGCCAGGAGGTTCTTCCCAGCCTGATGGCAGAGCCTGAACAAACTCCCTGAGCTCTGTCTGATTGCAACGGACAGGTTTGAGCTCCCAGAATATCAAAACCTTTTGCAAAACACTAACCTCAGCTAAGGGGAAAGGGAGGAAGGGGGGAGAAAAGAGCTGATTTCAGCAGCTGCACTTTGCTGGATTTTTCATCTTGCATCAGCAAGTCGGGAACACAAATAATCTGGTCTTACATGCTTCAGTGCTGCTGGTGCTGAAGGATTTCCCAGCCTCCACTGGCTGAAGCTCCTCAGCATCCAAAACCAAGGTGGTGGATCATTTTTCTCCCTGTCTTTGTGGCTGGGAGGGGGACAGATCCTGCCCAGCTCCCCTGTGTCTTGTTTGCGTGGACAAAGTGAATTTCTGCAGGGTACAAACCCTCTCCATGGCTGGGGTTGGGCTGGTAATTTGGGAGCAACACCCTGGGGAGGGGAAGCCTTTTGTTCATCACCCCAGGCCTCCTGAGGGATGTGATCCAGGGGATCCAGCCTGGCTTGGTATTGATGAAACACCAAACATGGGAATGAAATGCTCTTTCTAAACGCACGTCCTCGTCTTCCACGCCCTTTGTTTAGCCCAGACAAGATGCCATCTCTAATGGATGTTGCCTTGATGAACAGAGCAGCTCAACTTTCTCATTAGCTTGTGTCATGTCCACGTAGCTGAGTGGGAAGAAGGAGGAGGAGGAGGGGGGGGAAAAATGCTGCTGGGTTTGACAGTTGGCAGAGAGGAGCGATGCTCGTGTCTGGAAGGGGAGAGGGCAGAACAACCCAGCCTGCCAGGGAAACCTCCAAACCCCTCCTTAAATTAGCAAACACCCCAAAATGAGTGGCTTGAGCTTCCTGAAATGGGTGGGGGGGCAGAGGGGCAGCACCCCAGGTCCCTTCTCCCTGTGGACACCCCTGTGTGAAGGCAGCTGGAAGGGCTCTCAGCTCCACAGCCACCTTGCTCAAGGCTACCCAGGCTCTTAACACAATCATCAGTCAATTCACACTGAATAATTAAATAGAGAGTCTTCATAAGTATTGACTTAATGTGACAGCAAGTCTATACTGACTCAGGGTTTGCTTATGTAAACACAATCTCCTGTTCAGCTTAGTTAGCAGTTCAATGAAACAGAACAGTCCTTCAATTAAAATCAAATGGTGCATGCCTTTAATTCTTCCCTTCTCTTACTGGGTGATGATGGGGTTTAAGCAAAGGCAAGAGGAGGGGAAAAAAAAAGTGTCTTTTAACTGCTCTTATCTGTGATGAATCAGAATGTGTTGTCCTAAAAATACATGTTAACCAAACTTCTTCATTAACAGCTCCCAACTTAGCAGTTGGCCTGTTGTCTGTTTGTCCTCATTTTCCTCTTGCTGCCTTAGCTCTGCTCCCTCTAATTTGGGGTTTCCTTCTTTGCTTCCCTCTGGTTGATTCTCTTTTTGCTGCTTTCCTGCTGCTCCATCTCCCTGGAAAGAGGGGCAGCTTTGGGATGGAGACCAGTCCTTGTTGTGTGCTGTGCTATTCCATAGGATTGCCACTAAAACCAGGGATCAAACCTTCCTGGATCATCCCAGAACAGGGGGTTCCAGCACCCAGAGGTGGTAGATAAATTCTCCTGGATAAATTCAATACACCTACTGATGTGGGACAGGGTCTCACCACCCTCAGAGGGAAAAATTTCCTCCTCATGTCTAATCTGATCCCCCTCCCTGGGGCTCTTTGAATTACCTGACCACTCCTCCTGGTGTTTGAGGCTGATTTGTTGGTGGTTTTGATTCAATCTCAGCATCTCCTGGCTCCAAACCCCTTGATCTCCAGCAGGCAGAGAGAGGCTGTTGGGAGGAGGATGCCCAGCAGGCCTGTGGGTTTTCCAGGTCTTGCTGAGCTTTTCCATGTTGTCACAGCTTCCTGAACATCCTCTGCTCTGTGGGTGTTGGGGAAAAGACATTTCCAAGCTGCCTCTTGATGCTCAGTGTCTATTCAAGCCATTTTTTCCTTGGTCCCTGTAAATTGCTTGTGAAAAACACGTCCTGAGTAATTTCCACATCCTGGATGTTTTCTGCATGGAATATTCAAGAGCCTGAGACTGTTTTGCTTTGATGGGTGGTGAGTTATTACCAGAGCTGGGCTTGGACTTCTCACAGGCATGTAGTGATGGGAGCAATTAGCACCCAATTAAGCACCTTGCATCTGTTCAGGGCATTTTTCTGCTTGGAAAAAAACAACAAACAACACCCTATGAATTGCAAGGTGCCAATGAGGGGAGGGGGAGGGGGTTGAAATAAACCAAATTAAAACTCATCTGCTGTGTAGGTAACTTTTGATGTCAGAGTGAGGGTGTCTTGCTGGGAAGATGAATTCCTGCATGTCAACAAGGCCAGGAGAGGAGCTAGGAGCCAGGAGGGGATGGGATGGCCCCTTCAGTGATGCACAAATTCCTCAAAATGGGGATGAAAATGTGTCCTGGGGGGTGTGAGCACCACAGGGAGCCTGGGGGGTGTCTGGAGCTGGGCAGGGGAAAAGATGTATTAAAGCCCCTGAATCCCTTGGGCTGCCTCCCCTTGGTGTCCCCCTGGTCCTTCCACCCAGAAACCCAACATATTTTCTGGATACATCAAAGAGAAGCAGCTTGGAAGCCCCTGGCTTTGAAACCCAGCCCTTGGCACGGGTTTGGGGTGTGATAGATGTGTGTGGATAGACAGAATTAATTCTTGTTCATCCGTTTTTCACTCCTTTATGTGTTTTTCTTTTTGGCTTGGAGGCCTTTCAGGGCAGCTGTGCTGTGCTGGTGCTGTGCTGTGCTGCTGCTCTGCAGCTCCCAGGGCCACCAGCCTCCTGCCCCAGCTCTTCCCAGCCCAGCTCTGACACTTGCAGGGCAGGGACTGGCCAGACCCACCTGCTGCCTGGAGCTGCAATTTGGCACCAACTCCTCCTGTTTCTGCTCAGATGAACTTGGCTCCTGCTCCTCTATTGTATTTTGCCTTTTGCCCAGGCACTTAGGAGCAGCAACCTGAGCAGCCATGGGCTGACTCCACTCAGGTTTATTCCTGGCAGTTCCACTCCCATCCAGCAACTGCAAACTCATTGTGTGCAACGGAAGGAGTGACATCTGGCTTGGATGTTCTGGCAAGATCACCAGCTGGCTTGTCATGTATTAGAAACAAAAGAAAAGCATCACATTTGCCTTAGAGGATGCTACAAGCCAGGAGCAGGGCCCCAGGGAGCAGCGTGACAAATTTGCCTGGCTCTGGGTGATGAACTTGCTGGGGTTGTTTGAACAGAGCTTGATGTGCCTTCACCTCTCATTTGGGGAGAGGGGAAATGCTGTCAGTAACTTGCTTTGCCTCCCGTGGAGGTAAAAGCCCTTCCTGCCACAGGGCTTGTGTGGAAGGAGAAGGGTTGGGGTTTTTCTGCCCTGCTCTAAGTGCCCCAGGGTCTGTCTTCTGCTCCCACCTTGCAAATGGGGAGCAAGACCCCTTGAAAGCAGGTTGGGTTTGGCTGCTGGGGGGGCTGAGCACTTCAGGTGGCCCTTGGCAAAGCTGCTCTGGGCTCTGTGCAGTGGGAGGCTGAGCTGAGAGCTGGTGGGAGCCCCCAGCCCCACTCCCTGCACCCCCGTTCTGAGGATCTTTTTCTTGCCCCCCAAATTCCCTGGCGTGTCCTTTTTCCAGCCCCCTGCTCCCTCCCCCTCCCTCCCTTAGTGCTGAATCTTTAGGAGGGAAAAGAAATGTGGGTCTGGTGACAAATCACCTGCTCCTGGGGTGGGGGGGTTTTATATCCAGGAGGAAGGAGAGGGAGAATAATCCAGATGATGGAGAAGTTGACCTTGCCCTGGGAATCTGCAGCCTGTGGGGAGGCTGGAAGTGGGTCAGGCAGCTGGTGGAAGTGGGAAAAGAATCCAGTTCCCACCCCTGGCAGGGGAAGCTGAGTGTGCCCTGCATGGCCAGCAAAAAGAGGGTATCAAAGTGGGGCCCTGCTGGGGGAAGGAGCTCGTTGTGGGGGTTCCCAAAGGCTTCCCAGAAGATGGTTGTTGCATCAGTGGCAACTGGAAAATGTCCCAGTCTCAGATGGCTGGAAAAAGCAAAAGTCTCCA